GAGTCAGAAAAAAAATTGTTCTAAAGATAGTCATTTGCTTCATATTTCAAAGAAACACTGCTGTGACCATAGGCATGTCAGTAAAGAGATGTCTGTGACTGTAAGAGACAAAGCATGCTTTTCTTCCTTAGACAAAACGAATTACAGATTAATCTATAAGATAACTATTTGAATGGATTTATATCTTATTCACCCTAAGTGGATTTTTTTTTTCCCTGAGAATACTGCTATTTCATCCTGAAACTTTTCCCAGAGCTCACTGTTGTTTGGGTTTTCATGTGTTTGCTACAGAGACACATTTTTAAGAATTATTTTCTCTTAATAGTGAACATAATCACTTTTCCTTTCATTTCAATGGCTGAAATATGTTCTCCTGTTGGTAAATGTGGCTCAGGAAAATGACTGACCTTTTCAAACAAAATTTATAATTTTAGAAATGTAAAACTTAACATTCTTTAGTAATCCAATATTAAAATACATTTAGGTTGATCTATAAAATGCTATGATTTCAACTATTCTTTTTTGAGTGTGCAATAGAGAAACATTAACAATGCGTGTGGTTTAGAAAAATTCATTTATATAGCCGTTTGCCATGTCATGATGTATCTTAAACAAAAGAGGTACAGACAAAGGTATTGATTTTAGGGACTTAACTAAATAAACAGTATGTAAATTGTGTCTTTTTCTATAAAATTAGATCAGGACACACATATTACACTGCCTTTTTCTATAAGAATGACAGCTATTGAATTTGGCAGACATTGGAATTTGGTTAAAGAGTTACAGACCTTTGATCTTTGGATTACAATTAAATGAAACCATTGTAAAAGGACAGTAGTGGGCCAGCCAATTTCTCAAGCACGCCCCAGCAGCCAGGAGGCGTTATGGCTTAGTGCTGTCAAGAAATCCACTCTGCATTTGGTTCTAGCCCCGTGTCTTCTAGTAGATGAAGAGGACAGTGATGCTATCCTCATTAGAATACACAGTAACACCTTGAGAACACATTTTGGCGTTTTTCCTCCTTTTCAGTTCAACCAGCTATTCATGCTGATCTATTATACTTCCAAGTAATGATATTATACCCTGGGGAGAAGTTGGCTCATTTATATATATTTTTTCCTAAGACTCTACATGAGGTTATTTTTAGAGGGAGTGGAGAAAAACTCTAAATCTCAGATTCAGAATTCACTGGAATTTAAGGAAAACAAGTGCAGGAAAGGAATATAAGGTTAACATTACTCTAATTCCTTCCTTATCTGTGGGAATTTTTGTTTTGGTTTTGTTTTTCTTTTTTTTTTGATAACACTTTCTTAATCAACCTGGTTGCTAGTAAATTAACTTCTGGAGTCATACCCAAAGGACTCATTCCCTTTAAGTCTGCTTTTTAAGCTAAATTCTCCAAGTTACAAATAATGCTATTATACCATAATGACAACATTTGACCACCATTTTTTAAAAAAAGATTTATTTATAACCTTGTGACTAGAAATAATGCTTGGTCCCCAAGTTCCCTATTAATTCACATTCTTCTCATAATTAGGACTGATTTTAACCAAAGGTTCCCTAATAAACTGATGATAAACAGTGACTTAGCAAGTTTTCTTAATCTAAAATTATATATTCATAGCAACAAATAGGCAAGTTAGATCTCTCTCTTAGGTGTTTTTATCCAACCCACCAGATCTGTGTTCTTTTTTTTTTTTTCAACCTTCTTTGTTGTGTCATTCTGCAGACAGAGCTCAGGCTGTTTCCTGTCACCCACTGGAGCAAACTGCTCAACAGAAAGCACAGTTGGACAGCCCTTAATTAGTGCTACTTGGGATAGTCAGTGTGTGAGCCTGTGTCAGCATCTCACTTAAACAGGAATAGAGCAGTGAGAATCAGCTGACAGTTTGAAATGCAAGACACCAGGTCTTCCACTTCCACCTACAGTCATACATTGCATGCTGCATGCCTGGGAATGTTATGAAAAATGTTAGAAATAATGTTCTGTATGTAAATGGGACTCAAATTATTCCATCACTTTTTACAGGGTGTTTATTTCTTTAAGTTATACTGGTACATATTCTCCAATCAAAATCTGATGTGCAAAAATAATAAATCTTGAAAACAATTTTCTGAAAATTAATTTTCAAAAATTAACTAGACCTGATATAATTTTCAATATTAAAAGCAAAGTATAGTTTTATACTTAAAAGGAGCAATAGAAAGCAATTAACTTAAAATCAAGAGAAAAACAGCCTTTCTTATTTTATTTTGTGTTTTATTTTACATTGGCATTAAATGTGCTAAAATGATTACATCTTAACACATCTCTTGCAGGATGAAAACCTGAATACGGAGCTCTATCACCTACTTGCACCCCTAAAGTTAAAGCGACTAACTATTCTGATATTTTACTACAATTCCATCCTTATAGCCAAAACCAAAATTCTGTACAAGTTTTTGCTCAGCTTTGTGACAGTGGGATTTTCTTTGTTATGCAGCCGCCACTGTTTAGTCTGGGTGAAAAATGAGATCAATATATTCTAAACCTGTAACTTATTATAAATATTACCTCCCCCCAACGTGTTTTAAATTAATATTTTTCTAGTGGCTAATAGAGTCCCTTTAGGTTAAATGTAAAGGGAATCTGCCATGTATGCTTTCAGAGGGTAAACAACCACCACTACCTTTTTCTCCCCCCCGCTCTGGAAAGTAGCTATTTTACTTTATATGGTAGACATTTTTAGAAACTGTCTTTACTTTTTGTTCTTGCAGTGCAGAGGCAGAGTGGCGTTTCAGTGCTGGTGGCAGCACAGCCTTCTTTATAAGGATGAATGAAGATGAAAAGCAAGACAAATAGAAGCGAATGAGACACTGCTTTATGTGATTCATGATAGCTTGCCGTAAGCCTGTTAGCCTCTGCCTGGCTCTCCTCTCTGAGAAAATAATGGATAGTTACAATGTGTATAGTGACATTGTCAAACCATCAGGAATTGCTGATTATAGTGCTAAATATTGATCTCTGCTTCACATGTGTCAAAATTCTTTCTTCCCTTAATTAGAACTTCCCTAAGCACCATACAAGAACAAACTGATTTCTATGAAAGGGAGTGTGATACTAGAATATAATTGTGACCTCTTGTCTTCTTTTCTCTTGAGTTCTGAGATGACTTGGGCTGTCTCTCCTGCCCTTCCCAGCACATGTGATCATCATGCTCATTTTTCCCAATCTAACCATAGGAAGATTTGTCCCAGCCTCTGCTTTTCATCATTTTGAACCACTAGGGTAGTAGTCAGGTGGCAGTGGGACTTAAAGTGCCAGAAGGTGCCTTTTTCTATTTGTTTGTTTCATGGTACACCGCACCAGGCAATGACCTGTGGCAACAATGTCATACAAAACGGAGACCAGTTCACCCAATCAAAGGGAGGTTTAAAATTAATACAGATCCCTTCATTTCTTCATGCGAGATCTGGGAAGGCAATTGCAGGGTGCCATCATCTCCCTGATTATCAGTCGCATTCACTTTTAAAAAATTGTTTTTAAACTTATGTTATTACGGAAATGCTCCTCTTTTGGCTCCATATTCCACCATCAACAAAAGCAGGGTAAATCTCCTACTAATTTGATATTACCACTCAATCAGCTTCCGTATTCTGTACTCTAGCTGTAATATAATATAATGAAAGGTTGTGATATATGGTTTCAATTTGCACTGCAAACTGAGCACTTAACTCATTTATCTTAGTTTACCTGTAATATATTGTTATTTTTTTAATCATGGCACTATGGTGCATTTGCCTTTAGTTTGATGTGCTTGATAAAAATCAATATTTCATTAAAAGATTTTCAAAAATTGTTTGTTTCAAACACAGAGCGAGACCAATTTGGTGGCCATTCCTCATAAGCAAACATCTTGCCTGAATCTGCAAGTAAATGTCTCCATGAGCACCACTCACTCCCAGTACCTTGTGTGAGGGATCTTGGTCTGCAGTTACCTCCCTGGTAAATTGGCAAGGTCCTTCCTCATAACATGTGGTGCAAAGAGGCTATAAATAACAAACTCCAATTTTGACCTTTCCATCATGAATCTAGAAGAGGATGATGAAGGGAAGGTTATTTAGCCTTCCCACTTTTTTCAACAATTCAGACAGGAATCTCAATCCCCACATAGAGAAAGCTCCAAGGGACCTGCATTCATGCAGGTCTCTTCCCACTGCTGCCAAGTCACCTGGCTACATTGCACTGCAGGGGATCTGCGGCAGTGGTAATGAGCAAGTTCGCAAAGTGCAGAGAATTAAACTTTAAATTGGGCTGAAAAGCCTCAGACTACAATGGAGAGGCGCCAGCATTGCAAACATCCCGGTGCACAATGATGACACTGATTACTTGTTTTAGTGTGGCATTGTTTTCAAGTAGAGCTACTTACCTGAGAGATGTTAACTAATGGCAACCGACGACTTTTTCTTCCCTAGCTCAGGGATGTAGGATGAAAAATGATCATTGGGCTGCCTGGTTAAAACACATATTACCCACTTTCTGGAAGCTATTCAGCTCACAGAAATAACACTTTTGCCTGTTTTCCCCTCCATGTTACACATAAAATATATATTTATCACTATAAATCAATATCTAGCTATCTTCACAGGCTACATTTATGCCCTTTGGAGAGAAATATAGAATGTGATAACTGAAGCCACTATAACATCTCTGAATAGGTACTTAGTTATTATAGGAAATGCAAAGAATTTGATGAAATATAAGCTTATATTTGTAGATGTAAGTAAGTTTTTTTCTATAATAGAAAAAGAAAATGGTCTTTGATTAAAAACTACATATAATCATTAAAATCCTGTTCATTCTACTTTAAGGGGACAGCAATTTTGTAAGTACCAAAAAACTGATGCCTAGGATGAGCACATTGACAACTACATATAGAGCTTTCCATCAAAAACAATTACAGGTTGAAATGACTAACTCACCTTCTTCTTTGCTAATAACTGGATGAAGCAGGATTTGCAGGGGCAGATGTGCATAATTCTTTATTAACCAATAGCATCTAAGGACTTCTAGCTCTTCTTTAATATCATCACAGTGGTGTATCACCCAAAATCTGGAATAAATTAGTTACTGTTCTGTAAGAAATATTCATGACAATTCACAGCTGGGGCACATAGGATATGATCAATAAAAAGCCTACTAGTCTTTAGTACTTATGTCCTTCCCATGAATCTTAACCAAAAGAAGTAATAAATAAGTGGCACGTATGAATAGTACCTTTAAATAAGCAAGTGAGCCTTCCCCAGCAATAAGCAACATTCTCTGAATATCAAAAATAATAACTGGTTTTGCAGCAATGCAGCATGGAAGCACGAGGGTATAAGATATACTGTACTTTAAGCTCTGTTTGATGAATCTGAGCACAGTTCCTGGGGGATAGATTACTTTAAACCATGCTCTTTTACTTTCTAATCCTGACTTGATTTGATTTGTACTTTAATACAGCTGCCTGGCAATTCAACAGCAAATAGAGACTATTTATGTAATCAGATTGTAAGTAGTGGGACAAGAAGAAACTCTCTAGAACCTTTTTGGAAAATAGTTTGTTGTACTTTTTATTTATTGAACAGCAGGGCTCCAGGCTTTCCAGTGCTCATTATAATTGGTTTTCTGCTTGAACTTTCAAAAACTGTCATGTCAATACTCAAACAGAATTTTTTTTGCTTACTATATGGCTATGGGCTCTACTTTCTCATGTGCAACTTGACAAAGTTCTTGTAATACCTTGGAGGCAAAGTTCTAGAGTTTCTCTTGCTATTTAAGAAAACTAAGCATCAGAGGTCTTTAGTACTTTGCACACTTGTGTTCTCATTTTGCTATTAAATGCCTTAGACTAACATATTTCCTTTTCTGCCTACCTCTGCTTATTCATGTGTCTCTATTGTTCTATGGGAGTAGTCCCTCTGCTTTCATTCTGCCATCCAACAATATGAGCCTTAATTCTATCACCTTGAGGCACACCCACTCATAAGAAAGGTCAGTTTTCCACATATGTGTTCATAATCACATATCGTATTCTAAGTTGCAATTTGATTTTTAAAAAATGTACCCTTTTCCTAAAGTTTCATTTCCTATACCACTACCAAGAGTACAAATGTGAATTTTACATTCCCTAACCCTTTCCTTCGGAAACCCTAAAAATCTACCCAATCACTTATACGCAAGAACCTTAGATGAATTTAAGACAAAGTCAAAGATGTGACTAAATTGAAAAAGAACTTTTAAACTCCATCCCTGGAAATAACCTTTTGACTAATATAAATATATTTAGCCCTATCATATTCTATTTTTAAACTAGAGCGAGATCTCTTGTGTATTGCAGATTATTTGCAGTAATTTTCTATGCGGTCAGAACAGAGATAATTGCAAGACAAAGGATTTGTGCTAGAAATTACTGCTCTATATTTCATTTTATTTCCTATTCTTTTTCATTTCATCTTACTTAAAGCAATCATGTCTTAGGAACTATACAATGAGAGGATATTTTCTCTTCATAATAAAAATATAGTACTAAAAAGGCGGCCATTGATAACCATCAAAATTTTAACTACTTTTAAGGTATTATAGTAGCCTTTGCTTCAAGTAGACAGTAGAACACATAGATTCTGTAGCATTTTACATTGAAGTTGACCCCTGTTGTTATCAATTATTTGGTGGTCTTCTTTAGAGATTATTTAAGAGACATTGAACCATTACACTAAAACTGTGCATTTGATTTGGTTCAGTTTCATCCTCATTTTGTTATGGCTGTGGTCAAATATGTGATTATGAAGCGGAAAGCATTTTTCTCTTAAAATCAATCCAGGTGCTGCCTTTTCAAAATCCAAATGCTCACTGACAAAGCAGCCCTCCACAAGCCCAAGCTTAACTTTAAACTCAAGGAAAAGCATCTGCAAGAAAAATATGCATCATTGAAATGCTATAGCTGCTGATCAAACTTGCAGCCATATTCTCAAGTATGATCCTTATTAAACAGAATGATGCAAGCTGCAGGTTATTTTTAAATGTATCTGTATTCTTTTAACACTTTTGTAGGAAAAAAATAGGTATCTCTGGGGTTAGGAAAATCCTTATGCAGTATAGAAAATATCAATTCCTTCTAATACCATGAATTCAGAACTTTTCATATTCAGTATCCAAAAAAAGATTTCCAAAACATTGGTGAGAACTAGATTGTAACTAAGAATAGAAGGGATAGTTCAGTGTAATGAAAGTGGAAGTAGGACTGAATTTTTTTAGAAATTCAAGAAACTGAAAAATTCCGGACAATGCTTACTTGAAACAATAATGGACATGGAGGCTCTTGCTGGACTCTATTATTCATTTCAAATATTTAACTGGAGTGGATTTGTATGCTTATATAATCATATCTGTGAGAGTAGTCATACTTAACCACAGTATGACTTGTGGCTTGATCCTGGAAATACAAGTTTGCTGTGCTAGACTACAGGTTTAAGGTGACCATTGGAATCAAATAAAAATATGAAACCCATTAAATTCTTAGGTTAAAACTCATTCTCTGGATCTCAAATTAAAAATTGCTCGTATATAGCAGCCTTTTACTTTCCTAATTTTATGTCTATGCTGCTCTCTGTGTGAGTGAAAATTTGTTATATGTGAACTGAAAAAAAAAATCTATCATAATTTTTTGAAAAAATTATTGAAAGATAAATACACATTTATCATATATACATATAAATATCTATACATATGTTTAAACCAACAAATCTGGTTTGCTGATTATTAGTAGAAAATTTGTTTTATGTTTTCCTTATAGAATATGCACAGATCTTTTAAGAATCTATATGACTGTATTTTCTATTCTATTATGTATTTCCCTATCAGACAGCAGGGACGAAACTAAATGTCTGTTTCATCACACAGAACTACTGGCTGAGATTTGCTGTTCCTATATACTAAATTCAGGAGACAGATCTGTATCTGTCTTCTGTGTCTTTAGCTCCCAAAACTACATCAAGGCTACTCTTTTAGTCAACTTGGAAATTTATATACTATACACTAACCCTCCTTTAATATCCTCTCTCTCTTTCCTCTGGGCATTTATTGCTGTTCTTTCTAGTTCAGTAACCAGTGAGCAGAAGGTTCATTAAAACTAATTGAATTGGAAACTTGTCTGCCCTGGGAAATATTAACTCTTTGTTGTTATCTGTAGGAAATTCCTTTTGTTATGTTCCTTTGAATTGAATTATTGGATCTTAATGTTACAAACGCTGTGTTAAAAGCAATTTCCATCATTTTGATGGTCTAGACAGCAAGTTTCAGGAAAATGTCCTTATGTTGGATTGGATTTTACAAAATAAAGCAGCATTTTAGCCAATGATGTAAACAGCAATATTACATACTGTTCAGAAACTGGAACGATGTTGTCCTGTTAACTCTTGTAGTTCTAGTCACTGCTACACCGACTGGATTAAAAAAAAAAAAAGAGGTCTCTATTATGGTTCATTCTCAGTTAGTAAAACAAATAACACAACTTCAGGTTAGCAAGTCAATGGCAGTGGAATATAGATTATCAGAGAACATTAATGCCACAATTGCTGCCATTCTACCCATTTGAACAAATGTCAAAATGAAAAGATTATAATTATTCTTAATGATATAGGAAACCTCACTTTAATCTGTCATTTGTAATCATTTGGAAATTGTGCTGAAAAAGTACATTTGAAATAAGGTTTAGGACCCTGTGCGAGTCCTGGAATTGTTTAGAGCAGAGAAATATTGACAAAATTGGGAACATTTGATAATACTCACAGTGGTAGATTTTTGCCAGCCTTAAAAATCAATTGAAAATAACAGGCAACCCACTGTTGCTAATAAAAGTAAATATTTATGACTGATTTGACTGTGCTTCAATACTAGTCAATCACTTCCTAAAGAATCTTTGCAATTCATTAACCTCTTTTTACTGGTCTTGTCCCTGTTGGTATCAGCCATTAAAAAAGAATAAGGGAGGGGGTTTTGATGTTTCTGTTCTCATCATTCATAGCTTATTTGTTCCTTCCCTTCATTCCCATACATTGCCACTAAATTGATTGTCTGTTTAGTCATATGAATGATAAAGTAGCAATGCCAGCAAGATTGAAAGCCTCCATTAATTTCTGAGGAAGGTGAGTTCCTCTGTTTCAACCACAACTGAAAACAAACCTACTTCTCATCATGTCTTCTATGACTAGTAATTTTTGTTGTGATAGAGTCCACAGAACTCTCAGAGCTCCTTTTTGATTTCTCCCTCAGCAAACTTTAAGAAAACAGATATTTATTAATATCATCTCAAAATTGCCTTTTCTTCTGTGCTTTTGACCTGACTATAATATTTTTGTACAAAAAAGCCAATATCTGCAAATTTGTTTCTAGACAATATGGAAACCAACACTTAATATGTATTTTTTTTAATGTTACAAAATTTCTTTCATTCAGTAATCAGTGTAGGCAAAGGTAAATCTTTTCTCGGAATGAGAAGCACCTTCCTTTATTAAAAGAGCTTTTTAGAGTTCTTCCATGACACAGTTTTAGATTTCTGAGATCTATGCTTAAAAATAATGGCACCATAATATACTGCTTTATTTTATGTCTTAAAATATTCATAAAATCATAACCGTCTAAAATTATCTATAGCAACTGTGTTTCCTTACAAAGGTATTCTGTGATGTATTACAATGATACATTATAAGTTGTAAGTACATATTTTGTCACTGAATAGCATACTTAGCAATGTGTGAAAACTGCATAACCAACCTGTATGTGTAAGTTAAAGCCACCTCTAGGTAGCCTTAATGGAGAAGGAAATGGCAACCCACTCCAGTGTTCTTGCCTAGAGAATCCCATGGACAGAGGAGCCTGGTGGGCTGCCGTCTATGGGGTTGCACAGAGTCACACACGACTAAAGCGACTTAGCAGCTGCAGCAGCAGCAGGTAGCTTTAAACTATAGGCCTTTATGGAGGCAGATTTATTTTGCTCTCACATTATTTCATTCTGTTTATTTAATGGTACATGCATCTAACCACCCCATGGGCTTTGTTTATAATCATAGCTAATATTTATTGAGCTGTAAGGTGTGTTATGTGGCTAGCACTATGTTTAAAAAAAGAAACTTTAACATAAATTATTGTACTTATTTACAATAGCCAAGATATGGAGGCAACCTAACTGTGCATTAATAGATAAACAGATAAAGATGTAGTATAAAATACAATGGAATATTACCCAGCCATAAAAAATTAAATCTTGTCATTTGCAACAACATGGATGGATCTAGAGGGTGTCATACTAAGTAAAATAATTCAGACAGAGAAAGACAAATACCAAATGATCTCACTTACATATGGGATCTAAAAACCAAAATGAACCAAACAAAATGAAATGAACGCAGACTCATGGGTGGAACAAAAGGGAGGTTTCCAGGGGGGATGAGGGTAGGAGTTTGGGTGAATAGGTGAAGGGGATGAGGAGGTACAAACATACAGGTATAAAATGAATAAGCCATGGGGATGGAACATAGCATAAAGAATATGCTAGTTATATGGTAATAACTTTGTGTGGGGAGAGAAGGTTACTAAACTTACTGCAGTGACCATTTCATAACATGTGTATATGTCAAATTGGGTATAGTACACTTGAAACTAACATAGTACTCTATGTCAACCATATTTCAATAAAAATAAAATAGTAAACAAAAAGGAATTTTAACATAAATTATCATGCTTAATCTGCTCAACAACTCCATGAGGTAGGTTCCATTTTAACTACAATTTCTCAGATGAGGAAACTGAGGCTTCCAGAAATTAAATAACTTTCCTAAGATCACATACATATTAAGCTATAAGAACTGAATTTGCACAGCAGTCTGAAACCAGAGCCCATGCTCTCAACACTGACCCTTACTTCTACTGGACTGTTCATCCTGATCTACCCTGCACAAGATATGCTTTTAGATTTACCTATTTCACCATCCCAGCTTATAATATCCCACAAAGGCTGGGGTCGCTGATGCTGCTAAGTCACTTCAGTCGTGTCTGACTCTGTGGACCCCATAGATGGCAGCCCACCAGGCTCTCCCATCCCTGGGATTCTCCAGGCAAGAACACTGGAGTGGGTTGCCATTTCCTTCTCCAATGCATGAAAGTGAAAAGTGAAAGTGAAGTCGCTCAGTCGTGTCTGACTCTTCACGACCCCATGGACTGGGGTATCTTATTCTATTTTGAACCCCACCTATGGTAGCTTGGCATTTTGCATATAGTGAGTGTTTCTGAATTGCTAGAATGTACACACAATACAAAGACAAATTCTAATTATTTAAAGTTTTTAGTTTTCTTTCTTTGTGATGTCTTTAAGCACTACACAAAAAATAATGCTACAGAGGCTAATTTCAGAGAAACAGAAATACACACACACCAGCACACATCAGTACACAAGAGGGCTTGATGAGCGTGACACAGCAGCAATACAGCAGGATTTCGAAGCCTTGTCCCTGAGCCTATCCCAGTCTTTATATTTAGAGTTCTTGGTGTGGACCATGGCATAAGAACTTATCTAAATGTACCACTGCATATGTTTCTGCATAAAAAGGAACAAGCCTAAGTTATTGATTTCATCCACACTGGCATCTTGTTCTCCCAAATGAACCAAGATTTTTGAAAGCCTCAGCGTTAGCCTTTCAATGGAGACTCAGCATCATCGAAGTCAATTAGAAAGGAAAACTTGTTCAGATTTTCCCAATCTTAGATGGTAGAATTTGATCTTCTAAGTTTGGGAACCTCCCCTCCTTGGATTGGCATTTCAGTTCTAACTTTCTGCTATTCTCAGTAATGGTTGCACACAGGATGCTCCCTTCATGCTTTCAGCAGTGCACCGCAACGTCTTTGCATAGCAGCTAGTCTGCAGCCGTAGACCTAGCATGGTTCCACACATTTTATAAGGTACTAATGAAAAAATGACTTTAAGGAAAGTAACACAAATACCAGTAACACAAGAACATATCACTACTGGCAAGAATGGGAAGAGGTGAGAATCCTTCTTCACAAATATAGATCTAAAGCAGAAAGACCATGGCCTTATTTGACAGGTTTTTAAATTTTTATTCTCACTGTATGCATTTGTCTTTTCACATATTACCCTTTCCATAAAAAGGAAAGGATACTTTCTTTAAAGTCTTAAAGAAGACTTCTGAAAATGAGTTCCCGATTATTTCAATGACATAAATGGCAGATAGGGGCATAGCAAGTAGAAGGGGTTCTTCTGTGAACTTATGTTTTCTAAATCACTGTACTTGGGAAGAGAAATGTACACTCAGAGAAAATACGGCAAAAGCAAGAGGACGGAGTGGTCTGGTTCTCTTACTAAGGACTGTAACGCTAGCAAGCAATCTATATGCTGGTCTTTAAAAAAGGAATATTAAAAATAAGTATAAAATATTTATTAAATTATTTTTTAAAAATCACATGCTCTGCTAATGTTTAATATTTTCTTCAGTGTTACTATTTCTCATTATGTTAAGAATATGTTTTAAACTACTTATAGAAAATGTTTTAATAAAGTTGGTAACTTTTGACATCTAGAAGGAAATGTAATAACATCACAAAAATTAGACCATTTATTTTAGCACTAAATTATTTTACTGGGAAATTTTAATATATCCATGATTCATCATTTATCTAAAAGACTAACAATTTCTTTTCCACACTGAAAGCCTATCATAACTCTCCCTGGCAAAGTTGACAAAATAAATTTGAGGAGACCAATTCGGCAGGTAGTGAAACCTTTACAGTGGGAACAAGGACTAGGTGATGTCAGTGTGTTAATGATAAAAGATTCCACTGAGGTTGTCTGTTTGTAAGATTTCCCATGTCAGTGGTTCTACAGAAAAGCTAAAGTTCATTTGGCAGGTAGAAGCCTCGTGGGAACCGTTTTGCATCAAACAGGGTTACAAAAATGTGTTGAAGATGGTAATAGCTGTCTTGAGTAAGACTGATAGCACTTTAGGATTCAAGGGCAGATGCCTCTGCCTTCCAGTCTATTCATCTTTGCATGCTGATCCGGAGAAGACTTACCTACACCCTTAGCCAAAGAAGCAAGTAAACTTGATTTTTCAAAAGTCCATCTGATGCTTGTGTTCATATTCTACAGTAAGTAAATCACTCTCAGTGTTAGCTCACAAACTTATTTTGTATTTACTTCTTATTAGATCTATACTCCTTAAGCAGAAGCCATTTTTATTTTCATAGTTTAAAACTGTCAAAATTGTAGCAAATAACTCACATCCCCAAATTTTTTTGTTAATAAGTTTTAAAAATGAATGATAGGAGATGATTTATATATTTAAAGATATTTAAATTATCATGAAACACAACCTCATTGACACTTGAATATCTGGAAATGATAGGCGGTACCAAATTAAGATTTTGTGAC